TAGATAGATAGATAGATAGATAGATAGATAGATAGATAGATAGATAGTTAGTTAGTTGGGTGGATAGATGTATGGATGGATGGATGGAAGATGGATGGATGGATGGATGGTTGGTTGGTTGGTTGGTTGGTTGGTTGGTTAGTTAGTTAGTTAGTTAGTTAGTTAGTTAGTTAGTTAGTTAGTTAGTTAGTTAGTTAGTTAGTTAGTTAGTTAGTTAGTTAGTTAGTTGGGTGGATAGATGGATGGATGGATGGGTGGACGGATGGATGGATGGATGGATGGATGGATGGATGGATGGATGGATGGATGGATGGATGGATGGGTGGATGGATGGATGGATGGATGGATGGATGGATGGATGGATGGATGGATGGACGGATGGATGGATGGATGGACGGATGGATGGATGGATGGATGGATGGATGGATGGATGCAGTAACTCTGCTGTGTTGTGTCCAGGCCCCCCCCCACAGCTCCCACCTGTCCCAGCAGCAGCTGCTGACCGCCCGCCCGGTGCTCTACAGCCCCCGCTACTCCTCCCACCGGGAGCTGGTCCTGCGCAGCTCGCTGCCCCCCGGCCGCTACGTCATCGTCCCCTCCACAGAGGTGGCCAATCAGCAGGGAGCCTTCCTCCTGCGGGTGCTGACCGAGCAGGGCAACACCGCCCTGTGAGTGGCCGGCCTCAGGGGGGCCTGTCAGACCCCAGAACGGCTGACCTACAGCCCAGATTATTCACTTTTAAGCCTCCTCTGCTTCTAACTCCCTTTTAAATGGGCCGAGGGCTTGTGAAGGAGAGCTAAAAAGGCCCAAACAGGCACCATCTTCCTGCTTTTTTACACCTTTTCATGTCTTCCTCACAGGCCGGCGCAGAGACCAGGTCCAGAAGATGTGTTTTCCATAACAGAGGTATGAGGGAGTTTTCCAGCCGGAGGATAAACAGAAAAAAAGGGCAGACCGGCTCCTTCCCCAGAAATGAGAGAGCAGCCATACCTGAACAGAGACTCTGCTGCCACAGAATAAAGGTCTGATGCCCTGAATTCAAACTGCGTCTCAAGAAAGAGACGCCAGAGTCCTACTGCTCATGCTTGTGTCATTAAGGGTGTTTCAGCCTCAGTCTGGAGCCCCTTTTCTTCTTTGTTCGGCTCGAAATAAATCTTTTTGATAAAGTTTTGGTTATATATGCCCTCTCTGAGGCCCCCCTCAGAAATGAACTTGTAGAGAAATAGTGCCTGTGCCTCCCAGAGCCTGGATAGCTCAGTCGGTAGAGCATCAGACTTTTAATCTGAGGGTCCAGGGTTCAAGTCCCTGTTCAGGCGAGGCTCCTTTTTCACGGCCCTGGGTGTTGTTTGTGGAGGCCTGGGATCAGATGGCTGCTCTCTGATTTATGATCTCATATTTATGAGAGTTCAGGTCCCTGCTTTAGCCACACCACGGCTCTCACTGCAATTCTTCTGTATCTTAGAGACCAAACCAGAAAAAAAAAATGTCAAAAATGAATGGTAGGTTTTTTTGTTTTGTTCTTCAGGGTTCATCAACTCATCCCAAATCCATTTTAGAACTTTGACTTTGCTTGTTGCCGGTTTATCTGTCTCAGTTATGCAGAATTATTCCAGTTTTCCTTTCACTACATGGTCCCCACACATTAGCATTTCCGTAAAAACGTGCGTCCCTGAATTAAGACGCGACGAACAGGAACATCCGATCGGATCGGGGCCTACTTCTGAGTCCCGGCTCTGCTTTCTCTCTGCAGCCTTCGTTTCCCCACCAGGCGGCTCTTCCTTCACCCAAAGCTGTGAGGCGTCTGTTCAGTAGGCACTGCAACAAGGTGAGATCCACCAACCCGAAAGGGCTTTTTTTTCTGCACCAGCCGTTCGCCTTTTGCAGGTTTTGATGGCTAAGGGCCGTGTGTTGTACGTGTTTTCTTGTCCTGTTTCATTAGGAGGGCATCTGCAGACCGCTCCATCTCCAGAATCTGCTGAGTGAGGCCATAAAGGGAGGAGGTCAGTGATCCCGTCCCATCACAAACTGGGGAGGATTTGTTGGAAAAGGAGGACAGTCCAACAACTCTGATCCCTTTCTCTCTGCTGTGTTCAGTGTTGGCTGGGAGCGAGAAGCTCTTGGCTCTGGAGCACTGCAAGAGCCTGGTGGTCCTCATGGATGTATCCTTTGAGTCGGATAAATCAGGAGTTTGTCTTTAAGAATGAAACGTTAAACCTTCAGGCATTCGTCTGTATCAATGTGTTATTGGGTAAAAACTCCTCTGAAAAAGAGGATTCAGAGACCCGAAGAGAGGAAGAGCTCAGCATCTGTGAGCACAGCCGTTCACACCTTAAAGGAGGAAAAAGGTTTCTACCTTTAAAGGTCGTCAGATCAGATTAAATTAGGTTTGAAAAACGTTCCTGAGGAACGAAACTCCAGTCTGATTAAAACAGATCAAAAGGCTCAGGTAGGAAAGCTTTATTTTAGCCTTTTTCTCTTATTTTGATTAATCTAATAGACTAAATCTAGAAGAAACTGTATAGCTATCTCCTCTGAAACTGGAGGACCATCATTAAAAAAGCAATATGGGACATTAGAAGCTCCGCCTGAACAGGGACTTGAACCCTGGACCCTCAGATTAAAAGTCTGATGCTCTACCGACTGAGCTATCCAGGCTCTGAGAGGAGCTGTGCAGCATGTTGGGTTTTCTAAGGCATCTGATATTAAAGATAACAGATTAAGTCACATGTGAGTTTGGGAAAAGGGTTTGTTTATAGGATAAAAAACACAGCAACCCTTAGAGTGGGCATATATAACCAACACTTTATCGAAACAGTTTATTTGGAGCCGTGTTTGGGACTTGATTTAATCACTTTGTGACCTGAGATGATGTAAAAATCAGAGGTTATGCTTTGGACTCATGCAGCTTGAACAGATCTGTAAAATAAAATCATGATTTAGATTGAAACTGGAGCTTTTTAGCTCTCTCCTTAAACAGTATTAAGGTGAATCTCCCAGTAAAACCGAAGTTTGAAATCCTGCAGGCTGCTGTGATTCTCCTTTTAAAAGAGTAAAAACCTTTGTTTTCAAAGACTGAGGATCAGCGTAGTGTTTTTTTGAAGCTGCCAGGAGCTCGTGTGTTTCCCGGTAAGGTTTCTTGACCCCGGCGTTTCCCGCAGAGCCAAGGCGTCGCCAAACTGAGGTGGTCCGAGTTCCAGACTCTGTGGGATAAGATCTGCCGGTGGACGGTAACTATGCCGACCGACATTTGTTTCCTAAATGAGACGAAAGTAACATTTGAAACACAACATTCGCTAATTAAAAAAAATACAAATCTGCATGCTGCATGCAAAACTTTGGGCGCCCCTGATCGTCCCCAAAAGGCTTTGCTTCAACTTTTATTTTCAAAATGACAATAAAATGGAAAAGCGTCAAACAGCTACCGAGCTTTGGGAAGCATTGGGAAGCATTTCTGTTCCTGTGTGGGGGATTTTTCTCAGATTTCTGGGTTGATGTGCAAAAGCTGCTTCTTTTTAGGTCCAACCCCAAACCATGATCACTCCCCCGCCGTGCTTCACATGAAACTCTGTGGCTTTTGTTCTTCTGGGCCAAAAAGTTCAATTTTTAACCTCATCTTGTGTCCACAAAATGCCTCCTGGAGGTCTCTGGTTCTGACTATGCTTTTCTACTTTTCTTCGCCTCTCAAAGGTGGTTTTTTTCCCGTTTCCTGTCTCATAGCCCTCTCCTGCTGTGTGGGCGTCAGTTATGACCCATAACCCGCCTCTGATGATTGTCTGGGTATTTCTAAAGACCAGTGGTGTCCGAACAGGTCAAACAGTGAGCTCATGGATAGCTTTGCTTGTCAAACGAGGACAGAAATCCTCAAATATGAACCTCTTTTCAGGACATCTTCCTGGTTTTTGACAAGAACAAAACCCACCGTCTGGAGTACCAGGAGGTCGGCCCGGCCCTGAAGGCAGCAGGTGGGTCACAGCCCAAACAATCAGCCCGGGGGGGGGGTGTTTGGATTTTGCTTTTAGCTTCCAACAGCAGAGGGCGCCACAGCACCAGGATTCAGGCCTCCTCCGTTTCTTCATCTGGGCTCAGTTCAGTCACAGTTCAGGTTTCAAAGCTCCAGTCAGAGAAAACAGGAGCATTTACTCTGTGGTGGACTTCCCCCATTAAACTCAAATGATAAAAATTCAAACATACGAGCGTCATAATTTCATAATGTTTAGGAAGCTGTAAAAAACAAAATGTTTCCGTCTTTAAATTGTCCTCAAGGGATCGTTAAAATGAACGTTTTCTGCTTTTTCCACTATTTTAAAGTCCAGTTAGTGCTGTTTTTGTTAATCCACTAAGCTCTGATTGTCAGAAAAAAGACCCCTAACTCAAGGGATGAGCCAGAGCAGCAATTTAAAGTGGATCTTTAGGCTCTTATTTCTTTAGCTGATGTGTGAAAAAGGCCCAAAAAAACTATTTGACGGACAGGAAACAGGATTTCTGAGGATTTTCAGGGAAGGGGGAGGGTTCAGAGATGGAGAATGAAGAAGCTCAGAGAAGATTCAGACTAAAGGAGGCAGAAATGTTTGAGTCGGTCCCGGTCTGTGCTGCAGGGATCCACGTGGACGAGCTGGTGATGCAGCTGGTGGGGCTCCGCTACACCGAGCCCGACATGACCGTCAGCTACCCCGGCTTCCTCTACCTGCTCATGAAGCTGGAGAGCATGATCCGTGAGTGGGAGGGCCGAGTTTTTGGAGAAGATGGAGGAGCAGATGAAAGGAAGGAGGCCTTAGAACCACAGTTTAGAGTCAAAAAGCTGAAGGAGGAACGCTGAAAATAACACAAAACCTCCCTCAGAGCCTCGTTTCCTGGTTGTCTTGCAGATAAATTCCAGGCCTACGACATGGTGGGAATGGGAACGGTCACCGTCAGCTACAGACAGGTGAGTCCAGACCCGGCGTCCAGATGTTTTCTGGCTCCCCTTTCACCGTTCAGAGACCCTGAACCGGGACATGGACCCTCAGATTAAACCTCCGTCTGGGAACAAAGTCTCAAATTCCACCCGAAAAGACTCTGAACTGGCCGTAAAAGTTTAAGTCATGGCTGACTAAAGTCAAAAGGCTTCTTTTCGGATGTGAGCTCAACCTTTTTTTCTGCTCTGACTGATTTCAGTGGCTCCACATGACCATGTACAACTGAGCCGAGCCGGGACGCAGCAGGATGGGAAACCTCCTTAAAACTGTCTGTTTGATGAACAGGAGCAGGATAAATGTTTTTCTCTCTGTCAAATGCATAAAGGCTTGTAACTAAACTAAAAAATAACAAAAAACAGCATTCCCACGGGTTTAGTTTTGCCTCTTTTATGTGACCATGGGCAGATTCAGCTGTTACGGAGCGACGTTTTGTTGGCTAAAAACTAAAAAATCAAAGGTGAAATATCATTTTCATGGACAAGAAACTTGGTGAAAAGCTTTTACATTAACATTTGCCTGTTTTTTTAGATGAAAGATTAGGATTATTACTGTGGTTCTTCTCTGATTCAGACGCATGGAAATGGCCTGTGTTATAAAAACTGGGTAATAATTGCACATGAATCACAGCCAAGCTGGTAAAACTCAAAGGTTTGACGCGTGTTGAGAGGAGAGGTGGAAATAAAAGGAGAATCCGCCATGTTTAAGAGCTTTAAGTGACCACATCTGCTCCCAGAACATAAAAAACAGGCGTTTCCACCCATATGTCCATTTTAGTTATAAAATCCTCCCAAAAGATCCAGAGAAACGTCAGAAATGACTAGAATTACATTAAATCTGCTGAACAAGCAGATTTTTACCCAAACGGACCAAAAAGTGGAGAATTTAAAGCACAAAAACATTACAAAGTTTTTGTTTTTCCTTTAGTTTCTTGTATCTCTGTGTCTTTTAAACTCTTCAACTCAGCACCTTCTGTTACGTTCTTATATCTTTTTAATGCCTGGAATCTGCAAAATCATAGAGAAAAACAAAGATTGCAATCATGTGATTTGCGTTGGGGTCTGTTTTCTTTTTTAAGAATAAAGAATATAAAAATAGCTGGAAAAGTGTGAAGTTTTTATGAGAATATCAGTATTTTCCAATAAACAGATGCTTTAAATGGGCCCCCTTTGGGCTTTCTGACACATTTATCAGCAAAAACTCAGTTAAAAATAAACATTTTTATGAGTTGGATCAAATTTAAACCATTCAGCTGGAGCGTTGGCGTTCATTTTGGTGGGTAGATGACATTTATTTGCTGTTAGACGAAACAGGAGGCTTCACTGGTGTCATCAAGGGTCCAGTTTCATCAGCTGAACTTTATCCAACATTGGGAGAAACTTGTCTGTTTTTTGGGATTTAGTTTCTTTGCATCCAGCTGTAATTAGTCACAAATGTTTCATCCACCTGGTTTAGTTGTTTACATTTTAATGTAAGCGCAGCTATTTGAGATTTGTGTCTTATTTTTCCATAAGTTGTGTGCGTTAACTGTCTGTTACGGCCTTAAAAATGGAAAAACTGTGCTGCTGTTGTAAAAGCGGAGCAGCAAACATGTTGTGATGAAGCCTTTTGAAGGGGTTTGACTTGGTTTCCCACTCCCCAAACGCACGCCGTCCATTCACGAGTCCACGCCGGGCTGCAGCCAATCAGGGCTGCACCTCGTCACATGACCCCCCCCCACCCAGAGCTGCAGTGACACTAATCTTGCAGGACAGCCTGAGCATGACCCACTTCTGCTGGTTGTAACCCGGCGAGCCCCCGCCTGCTGCCTCTGCTCCGGCCTGTGAGATTTGTGGAGCCAGCCTCCGGGTCAGTGCCTCCGAGAGAAGGTGGCCCCGGAGTCGCCTCTGTCTCCGAAGATTTATCCTATTCTTTCGTTGCTTTCCATCAGAGGAGGCTGGAACTCCTACATTAGACACCTTGAGCTACTGTGTGCGTCCTTTTTAAACAAAACGCGGTCGTATTTTGGGTTTATGTTCCACTTAAACGTCCGTTTTTTCATCAGTTTGCATCTATGTGAGCAGGTTTGTGTTTTTCCACCAATCTCCACCACCAAGATGAAGTGTGAAGACACATGAGAGAGTGAAGTAAACAATGAGAAATACGTCAAAACTTTGCTTTAACTTCTGTTTATTAACTCGAAACCTCAGTTGATAACCTGAGAGCTCAAACAAATTCAAAACAGATGGTTTTACTCTCATCTTTGATACCTAGTTGTTTGGTCAGTTGTCCAGCCATAGACTTTTTGCTAATTTTGAGGTAACATTCTGACCTGTTACAAGTTAAACCTTTCAAATGAGACATCACAGAACAGACTTGATTTTTTTCTAGCTGTTGTCGGTAACTTTTGAGTAATAACAGATTTAGCTAATCTTGTTATGGAAGTCTCAGACAGTTATGCTCTGCTTTGATATGCTACATGACCCCCTTCCCTTTGGAAAAACTTGATCCAATATGGTGGCTTTCAAGATGGCGGCCATGTTCCAGATGTGGCCCGAGAGATAAACCGCCCTTGGCAATTACATTTTTATTTTAGTTTCTGAAATAAAGAGGTGTCTGACGCTGCACGTTGGTGGAATGTGTGGACACAACGTGTTTGCTGTAAATGCCTCCGAGGATTGGGAAATGAGCAATCCAGGAAACAGGCCAACAGGAAGGTTTCCACACGGTAATGTAGCAAGCAGGTTTGTGAAGACATCAGCTAGCAATCAGAGATCCAAGCAGCTCTTATGAGAATGTGCACAAATAGCTATTTATATCAGTTATGTGCAAGGAGGCCCCAATCAAGACCACCAAAAGATATGTTTCTAAGCACAAAACAAGTAAAAAAAAAACTCACCCAAGAAAGAAATGTCAGAAAGACATTAAGCTTAATTTTCAGAAGTCTTTAACTTGATTAAGTCATTCAGAAAAAGTTCAGATTCCTCAAACTGGATCATAATAGTAACACTGTGTCTCATGCAAAATTATGATTTATTGTGGATAAAACAAGACGTATTACATAAAAAGGTTGTTTCTGTTTAATTCTGATTTAACCAAAGGAATGAGACGCCTTTAACCAGATTTAATTAAAAGTTTTATGCCTCTGGCGACCTCCTGAGTCTGAATTTGTTACATCTCCGACTTTAAAGTGACGAAGTACGGAAACCCCTGGAAATGTAAACATTTTTCAGTCATTTTTCAAAACCTTTCAGTTGTTACATTTCTTAATGAAATACAATTTAATCCTAACACTTTTTTAAAATTGCTTAAATTTTTTAAACCTTTATTGTTCCAGCGGCTCAAGTTGGAAATGAATATTCATAAGATTCTTTGTCACGTTAGCGTGACTAACCGGAAGCACGGTGCAGATATCTTCAAAATAAATATAAACTCTGACTTTGTCTCGCGTTTTCTTCCACTGGACGCGTCATTTTGACACGCCATTCGAGTAAGAAGGAATTAACCGTGATAAAAAACTGGGTAAACGGTGGGAAAAGCGCGTGGATTTGGGGGAGGAGGCTTATCCCGGGCTTTTACTGTGACGGGGCCGGCCGGAAGCGGCTTGTGCGGCCGCCCCGTGCTTGCTGGAGTGGGTGCAGCCCGTAGGAGCGGCCGGTCCTCCTGCCAGCAGCCACAGCAGCAGCACGGGGGCAGCTTTTCTTCTCACGGCGGCAGCGGGAGCGCACACACCGGATACTCATCACTCCGAAAGAGCCTCTCGCGGCTGGAAGCGGCCACAGAAAAGACGTAGGACACTTTTTCTGGGTCGCGTTTCCCTCCCCACCCCGCCTCTCCAGAACTGGTCCGTCTTCGCTCCCCCCCCCCTCACCCCCCCACCCCGCTTTTATTTTTTATTTTGTTGGACCGTTTGCCCGCCTCCCCCCCCCCCCCTTCCTTCCCTCCCTCCCTCCCTCCCTCCTGCTGACAGCTCCCTCCGTGGCGCACTCGGGTTTCTTTTGCTGACATGGTAGATTATCACGCTGCCAACAACCAGTCTTCCGCCGGCGGGCCGCAGACCTACATGGAGCAAGAGAACGACTGGGACCGGGACCTGCTGCTGGACCCGGCCTGGGAGAAGCAGCAGCGGAAGGTAAGGCGGCCTCCGGTCGGGCTCCGACCCCCATTCCTCCTCGTTCTCCTCTTCCTCCTCTGGCCGCGCGCGCGCCTCGCGCGAGGAGGTCCCGCATTTGTCTGACATGAAAGCGGCTTTCGCTCCCTCGGAGGTGACATTTTTTTCTCCCCCCCCCCCCTCCCTTCCTCCTCCTCCTTTCGCTCCGTGAGCGGAAATAGGGCGCCGCATTGTTTCAGAAAGCCAGGCGGAGATTGAGCTGCCGTTTTGGGGGGGCCGCGGTAAGGCGGCTCCCCCCCCCCAACCACCACCTCCCGGTCCGCGAGGCCCCTTCGCCGGCCTCCCGGAGGCTCCGGGCCCGGAGGCTCTCACCGATACCGGGGCGCCGGGACCAGGTCCCCGTGGAGAGGGGGGGAGGAAGGGGGAGGGGGGGCTCTTTCCGTCCACGCTGGGCCGTGTCTTCCTGGAGGTTAATGGGAGCTCTCCGTGTGAATTTGGCCCTAAGAAGCATCTCCGGAGGACCTCGGGGCCTCTTGGAGGAATTCCTCTCGTGGTTAGCATCTTTCTGAGCCCTCTAGAGTATTCGAGTTATCGCAGCTATTTTAAACAAGCGCCAAAGCAAGGGGGGGGGGGGGGGGGGGGGGGGGGGTCAGAGGCAGAAAGTGGCCGTCTGGAAGCAGCTTTTATGGGCCACACTTGCCCAGGTTTACGGGGCTGTGGCGGGAGGCCGTTTTTGGGGCATTAGACTGTCGTTTGATGGGACACAGATTGTTGTTTCCACACTAAAGCTCTCTCTCCCACGGCTGGTCCTCGTGGGGAGTGGATGGGTGTGGGGGGGGGGGGGGGGGGG